CAAAGCAATTTCAAATTCGACCCCAGCCAAGGACTCTACCCGTTGGACCCCGCCACCCCCGTCGTGATCAAAATAAACTCAAACAAGTGTGCACTCCGCACCTTCCTTACTTGTTCAATATTTATCATGATTACATTAGTCAACAAATTAATCACATTACACTTAAATGATATTAGAGATACAAATCACCAACATATAGTAGATGACCAAACTCTCCATATGTATGGTTTGTGCAACATTTTCCTACACTCCGTGTTAATCATATACATCAGTACCTTAATCATATCTTTTCTATCGTTTTTCGTTCTTGTTTTCTCCTGATAACATACAGTTTTTTAAGAAACACAACAGGGTTTTTTATCAGTTAAATAAACAGAAAATCTATATACATTCTATCTCTATAGTTCTACATCTTGCCTTCATATAAAACACATAGAATTTAATACATGATAATGTAGAAGGCACTAAACTTGCCATCTTTATAGATTTGTTGTTTTCCTCTTTCAACTACATAGAATCCATGTGCACATGGACCAACTACCAATTGATGGTGTCAATGAGACCCCACCAAACAAAAGAGAAAAGGGTCATGAACCCATTTTTCTATTCATCAATTATTGGTTAAATGAACCCTCAATACCTCATGTTCTTTAATAATATCACATTTCTTTGTCTCCTCCTATTCTATACTCTACTTCAACCTTACTTGCAATATCCTTTCTTTGAGGACAATGACAAGGGTCTCTCAACCACTCATACACCTCATTGTGATGTCTATACATACCTTTCAATATATATATATATATATATATATATATATAATTCTGGAATTGGTAGTTCTGATTTAAAAGAAGAAAGGGTTTTTATATTATCTTTAAAACTTTCGGTGTTAAAGAATTTGGTACAACGTCGTTTTCTTCTAAGAGGCTGATATGTGTTGAGAATTTAACACATAAAGCACTCATTGTACGTCTTTTTAGTTATAATAATTTTTTTTCATTCCCACTTTGAGTCATTTTCATTGATTTCTTTATTTTCTCGTCATTTACATTTCCGTCATTTATTTTATCGTTATTTACTTTACGCAATTTACGTTTATGTCTTTATTTTCCGTCATTTATTTTTTACTTTCCGTTTTGAGTAGCTAAGCTTTTATAGCTTGGGTGTGAGACGGAAAGGTGAGACTTCCAAACCGAACGAAAGTAGCTAAGTGTTTTCGTAAACGACGTTCCATTGTTTCATTCGAGTTTTTATAAAAACCAAGCACACTTCTTGACGGGTTGATCACTTGAAAGTGTTAAAGTGCGATGGACTTAGAGATAAGCCATCAATAAGCACGTCAACTTGGATGACATAAGAGGTAGACTTGAGAAAGTTGCCGACAAGGAAACTTGTCATTTGTGTTTTTCAAAACTTAACTCCCGACGGGTTGGTCGCTCTTCAAAGGTGTCAAAATGTGATAGATTCAAAGATGAACTATCAAGAACACGCCAACTCGAATGATATGGGAATCGACTCGAGAGAGTGATTTTTAACAAAGAGATTTGTTTATCCATATATTTTGAAAACACCATCGTGTCATTATCCCCGGTCCGGACACCACATAGAGATATGGGTGGAAAGCTATAAGATAGTGCAATGGTGAAGTCCGAGAGGAATGCCTTCAAAATAGATGGTGGAACTTAGTTTCGAAAGACTGCTTGATGTAGCATTCCTATAGCATTGGCTGTTGGAATTTGTGTTTGGGTCTCATCTTAAGTCTTACACCCTTGCTTCTTTTATATATTATGTATTCTGTTTGGATTCACCTTAATATCAAACAAAAGTCTTCAAAATCGTCATCTGAAATCATCTCTTTCATTGGACTCTAATATAACTTTGGCTACAATATCCGTGGACGATAATCCGGTACTTGTACCACTTTATTACTTGGAAAGACGACGTTGGGCCGTATTGTATACTTGCTTTGTGGCCCAATTTCATTAAGTCTAAAGGTGTAAAATATCACCCTACCAGAGGCTATTTACCAAATTTTATATTAAGTCATGTATGGATAAATTTGTCTGTCTGGAGAAATGGGTGTTGTTGTTTACTTTTTTTATCTGAACCAACAGTCTGAATAACATAAATGATCGATTTACCCCCCAATGTTAATTATTTGAACATCAAAACAAATAAAATCATAAAGAGGCCGAAGATGGGGTGTCTCATATGGGAAGGAGGCGGTGCTTTGAAATAAGGGGGAGGAGTGTCATTTTTGTGGCTGAATGGGGAACAACACACGATTTCTATCTGTGCGATTAAGCCATGTTATGTACAAATAAGCCGTAAGTAAACAACCCAAATGAGTTGTGCGAATAAAACAGATAGACGAATAAGCCTAATTAAGCCACACGTAAACAACCCCTAAGTTGGATTTGAGTAGCTGATTGTTTATGTTTGAATGAAGATTAATGCAATTATTCATTAAAGAAATAAAATATTAAATTTATGTTTGAACATTTATGAAATATGTTAAGTTGTTTCTTGCACCATAACAAAATCAGGTTTATAGGGCTCTCCCAATTTCTAAGCATCTAATAGACCTATTCATATGACTTAGTTTTATATGACCAAAAAATAAAGTGTCTTATCTAAAGGCGTTTTAATAAGTTTATATGACAATTTTTGATGTCTTGATAAGTTTTTTAGGACACTTTTATTATAAAACGTCTCATTAGCACTTTTAGAGGACATTTGAAAAATTGTCTTGTAAAACAAGTGTCGTATAAAAAATTGAGTTTATATGACACTTTCTCATAATTGTCCTATAAAGTTGCTAATACGACGCTTTGTATCAAAAATGTCCTAAAAACTTGTTAAGATGCCCAAAAACGTCGTATAAACTTATTACAACGACTTTAGATGAGACTTTATATTTTGGTTCTATAAAGCGGTTTATTGGGACGCTTAGAAACTGGGGGCATCCTATAAACCTAATTTTATCGTAGTGTTGTTTTTAAGTACTTGAATGTTCAGAGAGAAATGTTGATTTTACAGTACACTAAGTACGAGTATCGGCATCCACTAAAAGGGATATATATCGTGTAGAAAAAATTCAACTGATGTTAGATTTTAATGAATAATAAGGTCGACCGTCTACACGTGTGCGTGCGAGTACTAATCTCATCTTTTGTGATTATGTGTTTTTTATTTGTTGTAGGGTACAGAGAAATCTTGATTTCAATCATCATTACTTATCTATACTATAATATAAAGCATTTGACAAAAACTCTTAAAAACCATTTTTATGTATAAAGTACTGTATTTTGATGCATATTACTTAAAATTCAAGATTACAAGTAAATTATGCATAAATACAACTTAGTAAAGCTCGATGTTTGAATTCGTATAACTAACTACGGATAAACACAATCAAATAAAGGATAAACATCTCATTTTAAAATATAAATATAATTAGGATAATTATCGAGTTTTAACAAAATAATTAATTATTATATTTATAAGAAAATTATATTATTAAACCAAATATAAATTACTTCGTTATTGTATCTAAATTAAATTATTAATAATAAATTGAATTAAAAAATTACACAAAAAATGAATAATTTTTTAAATAGTTAATTTGATACTAATATTAATATATTTTTGTCAAATTTTTATGATATCTTCAAATTTATATTTTATTCAAAAATAAAAACATCACCGTTTTCTCAAATTCACATAAGACTATATTATAACATCGATTAAGATAAAAAATAAAATAAAATATTAAAATCAAAATGTACTTGATGTTTATGATGTTTATGACATGGATGAGACCTCTCATGGCCTATAGGGTCACTTATATATAATTGATTTTAAATGGGAAAAAATTAATTGCATTTTCATATTCTAGAATCAATCATGTTGATTATTTATCAATTTTATAACAATAATTTCCAAATAATATTTAAGATTATCATTACATATCTACCCCCATCAATCTATAATTTGAAAAAATGTATTTAAATACTTTCTTGATAAAAGTAAAATAATTCAAGGAAAAGTTGTATGGAAAAGTAACGTATTTTGATTCGAAACCTATTTTGGGTAATGTATTTTCAAAACTTTCATTTTGGTACTTAAGATGTAAAGTTTTAAACATTTAAGTATTTGAGTAACTGGTTGAAGCATTAACCGGTTATCATGTTGATGTGGCGAGTGATGAGATGAAATTGGGTTGAATAGCAAATGATATTGAGTTGGATACCACATCACTCGCCACATTAGCATGGTGCACCGGTTACCTGGGTACTTAAATGTTTAAATTTTTTTTCATCTTGGGTACCAAAATGGAAGTTTTGAAAGTACGTTACTCAAAATAGGAATCAAGTAAAAGTACGTTACTTTTTTCATGCAATTTGCCCATAATTCAATTATACGTATTGATAAAAGAAAGTATACGACAATGATAAAGAAAAAAACAGTAATTCTAGTTCACAACTCTTTAACAAAACGTTTCACTTCTGATAAGACAATTAAAAAGAAAGAATATGCATCATTTTTTCAAGAAGATGAATAACGCATAAGAATCTGAAAAATCAGAAGAAAGGTTACAAGTGTTCACCAGACATGAACGACACGTCTTACTATCAGTAATGTGATAGTAAGCCAGTAATATCGTAGGGTTTTTACGAGACGCGCGTCTTACTGTCATTACATGTTTTTGAAAATACTGATATGATATTAAGTTGAAAGCAATAACATCACATGTGAATAAAATTGAGGACATGTTTGAATTTTTCAATCATGATCACATGTATTTATGAAGTGGCACTTGTCTCTTTTGGGTTTCTTGACAACTAGGTCATGTGAGATATGCAACATTATATATATATAAATTCTTGCTTCAATTATAAAGCACAAAACCACATGACACTAGATGCCCTCTTACTTGTCTTTTGTACTTCATCACATGACAAAATCTACATGTAAATTCACCATATTTTATAGCTATAAAAACACCACCCTTTTTCAAACATTGCCTTCCCAAACACACACTCTTGATCCTCTTTCCAAACTTGGGTCTTGACTCATTTTTCTCCCCCTACACTTTTCTTGGATCGTACCCTGATCAATCTTTATACGTATTCATCACAATCTTGTTTTTATATAACGGGTTTTCTGTGATTCAAGAAATGGGAAAGAAGATGATGAACTTTGGCAGGTTTTTAGACGGTTTGTGTATATCAAATGGGGGTGCGAGTTCTTGTCTTTGTTGCATTAACAGTTTTGAAATTCAAGATGATGATGAGTTTGAGAGAGAACCGTTTGTGGATCAGTCCAAGGATGCATCAGATAAGCCTCAGACGCTTGGCTTCTTTCTAAAACCAAAGGTAATTTATCGAGTTGCATAATTGTTTACAAAGATGTCTCTTTGCATATAACGTGTAGAGATCAGTAGGGGAATTTGTATGTACGAAAACCTCTTTTTAAGGTATCGCTTATATGCGAAGTATCATTCTTGTTTGCAGTTTCTTGTAGAAAAACAAATTTGATCAGTTTATTGTATAATTCAAGTAAGATAATATAACGGTTGCATTGGGAATACACTCCAGCACCCTTCACATATGCACACTCGTTTTCACTTCCAACGTCCTCAAGATTTAGACGTTCGTCATTTACCATTCAGATTTACAATTCTGTAAGGGAATTTCAATTTGTGGACCTCAAGTCATATACCATCAAACCAACTGTTGACATCAAAATCTGGTTGTTTTTGTATATACTGTAGTTAGAAACTCCTACAGTACGTAGGATATACTGATACAAAAGCAGTATATTACACATAGTACATGTTTTTATATTGATTTTGCTTCAATTCCTTTTTGTTTGTTCTTGGATGGTATATAGATGGTGGTGCTAAGGGTGTCTATGCATTGCAATGGTTGTGCAAGGAAGGTTCAAAGACACATCTCCAAGATGGAAGGTAACACTTTTAAATAATTATTTTTAATTTCCAATTTTATACCTTTTACACTTAATTAATAATATTTTTTATTTAAATTAATAATAATATAAATTAAAGAAAATAATTTTTATAGTTTTTACACTTAATTAATAATATTTTTTTATTTAAACTAATAATAATATAAATTAAATAAAATTATTTTATTTTATATTCTTTTTTCCCTGACACACATTTACGTAGATAAATAATCAGACACTACAACCAAATTGGTATGTTATAACGTCTTTATTCTCATAATAAAATACATAATTGACTTTTTTAAGTTTATATTAACCAAAAACTGTATATTTTATAAAATACGTTACAATAAAATGTTATAATTGAGATAATGGGTTGTTTGTAAGTTGTTGAATGATTAAAAAGACTCTCATGATATAGTGCAAAATACAATATAATTGTTTGACAATTATTTACAACAGAATTAAGACACTGAATGGTTAAAGGAGGCCCACGATACAAAATCATTCAAAGGGTTTTGAAACCATTAAGAAACAGACTTTTTTTTGTCAAACAAGATTCATCTCTTAACAATTCAGATGTTGCCTCTGAATAAAACTATTAAAAGGTAAACAAACAACCTCTTAGCAAAAACAATATCATATCATTTTTTTTTTAAAACCATGTAATATTATTGGATAATTTTTAAACTTTAAATAATAATAATAATAATTAATAATAATAAAATATTTATTTTCCCAATAATAATAATAATAAAATAATATTTTTTTTTAATATTTATTGATAATAAAAACAGGAGTGACATCCTACCAAGTGGACTTGGAAACCAAGATGGTGATTGTAATGGGAGACATTGTTCCATTTGAGGTGTTGGAGAGTGTTTCAAAGGTTAAAAATGCACAACTTTGGACCCCACCAATCTCATAATTCCAATTTTATTTATTTATCATGTTTTTTTTATATCTGTAGAACTCAAAATATTATTATCTGAACGGTTTTTTGGTTAGGTTTAATGTTATTTAAAATACTGTAATGTGTTTATTAAGTAATTACGTATTTAGAGTGGTCTGTGTTTGTATAGTTTTTTTTTTCTGATTAACCTGGATATCCAACTTGCTATGTGCGTCGACTAATCTCAGGACGACCATCTGGTTTGCGGATAGCCCGGAGTCATTGTATTTGAACATCTGTGGCCATAAAGGGATTTTTATTCCTCTTTGGATTTGAACATGAGATCTCCAAGTAGGGTTGTAAACGAATCGAACGAACACGAACAGAGGCTTGTTCATATTCGTTCGTTTAACTTAACCGAATAAACGAACGAACACGAGTGGTAAACAAACAAAAATCTTTATGTTCGTGTTCGTGTTCGTTCGTTTAGAAATCAGGTGTGTTCGTGTTCGTTTATGTTCGTTCGTTGATGTGCTAAACGAACGTAAACGAACGAACATAAACGCACAAGGCTTAACGAACATAAAGAAACAAACGTCACTACTTGTCATTCAACCCTTCACGATTTTGTAGAAGGTTTCATCTGGAGGTTATGGTTTTGGAGAAAAAGTGAAAAGGTAAAAAAATCTCAAACAAGACAAAATGATGATAAAATTTAAATCTAAAAAAATTAAAAACTTAAATAAATATTATTTGAATTCAAACTAAATAAATAAAAAATTATATATTAAATTTAATATATAAACGAACAGAAATGAACAAACGTTCACGAATATAAATGAACGAACGATATTCTTGTTCATGTGCGTTCGTAATTGTTCATGTTAGTTCATTTATTAAATAAACGAACATAAACAAGCTTCCCTCCGAACGGTTCACGAACGGTTCGTTGAACTTTCGGTTTGTTTACAGCTCTACCTCCAAGCACTTTTGACCTTTGGAGCCCAAACTCAAACCAAGCTTCTCTCGTATACATACTTTTGAGTAAATATATTTAGAGGGTGTTTGAGATTGCTTATAAAAACAATTTATGGACTTATTTCGGTGTGATACCGGTAATAAGCATTTTTAAGTATTTTGATAAACAACTTATAACAGTGCCAAACCGGTAGTAAGGAGTTTTTGAAGAAATTAAATCATTCTAACTTGTAATAAGTTGATAAGGACTTTTGTAGAAAAACACAAGTTGTTTCAAATAAGCAATCCCAAACACCCCCTTAAATGGTTTGAAATTATTCAAAATTAAGTTGAATATTTAAATTTCAGATTCAATATTTTTGTACTGTTTAAAGAATTACAGGAAAACGACCAAAAACTCGTTTATTTTTATATGTATTACTAGTCTTAGGTTCTTTATTAATGGATTGTACTTTGAAAAATGTTCATTTTATTAAAACAAACAATGCCATTCTGTTAATTAAACTGTTCTTTTATTTGAAGAAAATACGTCAAAGGGGTTATTCGGTTTGTTTTCCCTTAAATGTTGTATGGATAAAGTTGTCTATAGTGATAAAGTTGTTTGTATGATAATTGATAAGTTGTTGTACGGTTGTTATGCTGAATAAACAATCTAAATGTGAAAATTACTATTTTACCCTTTGTTTACATTGAAGGAAAACAGTCTCTTATGATTATTTGAGCAATGTAGATCAAAATCAAACCCAAAATCAACAACAATTTAGTAAAAATTCATCCCATAAAGTGTATAATACAAATCCAAATCAAAAACTTAATTCAAACCTTAAATCAGAAACTCACATCAAACCCAAAATCACGAGGAAAAAAAAACAAGAAAGATGAAGAGCCCTAAATCAGAAGCTCACATCAAGCCAGAAAGATCGAAGAACCCTAAATCAAAAAAGTCGAGGGCTCGATTTCAGGAAACATCCAATAACCTAGCAAAAAACCAAGGTAGGTTTCAGGAACAAAAAAAGCTCGATTTCGGGAACAAATCACTGAGAGAGCAACAAGAGAGAAGATTAAGTTTGGAGAAATCGAGGAACCAGAGATGGAGAGGGTCGAAGGAGCAGCAATCTCCGGAGGAGAAGGAGCATGGATCGATCTACAGAGGAGGAAAGGAAGAGGCTGTTTTTTTTTCCAAGGGTAGAGAGGGAAAAGAGTCGGCTGAATGTGAAGGAGTGTCTTCCTCTACCTGAGCGAATAAGCTATAGATTTCCAGATTAAGCCATAACCGAACAACCTTTTATGATTGAGTGAATAAGCTATATAGGTTATATACATCCCATTAAGCCACAACCGAACAATCTTTTATGATTGAGTGAATAATCTATATAGGTTATACAGCCCATTAAGTCACAGCCGAACAACCCCTAAATTTGATGTTTAGATTTTGTGTTTTGATTTCACAAATTATAACCATATAATATTCTTGTGTTTTATGTTATTTTTTATCATCAATTATCATCATTTTGATTTTATAATTTTGTTTTTTTATAGAGTAAATTACGATCTTCATCCTTGTGGTTTGCGAAATTTCGATTTTTGTTCATATGGTTTGTAATTTATTGTTGTTTTTATCCCTGAAACTAATTCGATTAAAAATCCTCCATTTAGTTTAGGGATATTTTAAATTTTTTATTTATTTTTGGTTTATTAAATATATTTATTGGTTTCCTTTTTGGTATTTTAGTTTTTTAAACAAACTATATATTTTTTGAAAAAGAATTAATACATAAAAAAACATTATCATTATTTTATTATTGTTTATGATAAAATAATTAAATATTTTCCATACAATTTGTTATTTCATATTTTTGGTCATTATAGTTTTAGTTTCTTATAGTTTGGTTTCTGTCAATAATGTCATTCAAGTGCAAGTCGTTGAGTACCCCTTACATGATAATATTTTAATTTTTTCCTTCATTAGTAGAATGTAGAATGTATAATTTTATACATTATCGTAACACATTTGTATAAGACATACATTTATTTGTTATAATTGAGTGACTTATGATACCAAACAATTGTACACCATATTAATAAAATAAAAAATTGTAAGGGTGTCTGGGCCAAAGCCCGACTAATCCCCGGCAAATTTGGAGGCTAAACATGGCCCCACTTAAATGTCGCCAACACTCCCTTCCCAGGGCTTGAACGCGGGTTCATGACTATGTCATGCCCAAGCCTTTACCACTAGGCTGGAAGGTCTTTGACCATATTAATAAATTTACATACAGCTGTTTGGTAAAAATAGCCTAAAGTAGTTAATTGTTTGGTCCTATAAAAAAATATAGTTATATAGTTTCTAATGAATTTTTTTTTAAAAAATACTCTTATATAAGGGGTATTCAGCAGGTAACACTTGAGCAATATTAACAACGAAATCGAACTCAGTAAACTAAAACTAATGACCAAATAATTTTTTTTTATCTGTTAACCTTTTTATAAAAAAAAAAAAAAAGGTTTTAATAAATTGAAAAGAGAAAAATACCAAAAAAGAAACCAGAAAATATATTTAATATATTTTAAAAAATTAAAAGACTAAAATACCCCTATATTAATGGAGGGGTTTTAAGATCTCATGAACGAAAATAATAATAAATTATAAACTATATGAATAAAAATTGCTAACTTTTGTTTAAACCACGTCCATGAAAATCGTAGTTTACTCTATTTTAATATTAGAACTTATTGTAACTTTTATTTTTTCAAACATAAATTATAATTATTTTGACGAGGAGTATTTGCATTTTTATGAAAAAGTTGATATTAGATTTTACATTTTTCTCTATTGCATCAGGTATACAATTAATATATACAAGTCCGTTTTTAGTAACAATCAAATTTTTAAAGGGGTGTTTGGGATTGTTTATTTGAAACAACTTATGTTTGTTTGTTATAAAAGTACTTATCAACTTATTATAAGGTAGAAAAGTTAAACTTTTTTAAGAACTTTTTATTACTTGTTTGACACCGGCATAAACTATTTATCCAAACACTTAAAAGTGTTTATTACCGGTGACACACCGAAATAAGTCAACAAGTTGTTTTTATAAGTATCCCTTAAGCGAAGATACATGAGGATTTGATACACATTTCTTATTGAATTTACCACCCAATTTATTATCAGATATTTGTTTTGAACATTTTCTGATAATGGGTCACATTAACCGTCAAACCAAAAGTTGGCTCAAAAACATATTTGTTCCGCCTTTATATTGATCATTGAACAACTTCATTGGCAATGCTCACCTTTTTAACAAACCAGATGTTTTCACGAAAACAACCGCTCTAACCGCAAAGGTGATGTCTAATTGGTTTGAGCTTGACTTCAAAGGTCAAAAGCACCAAGAGGTCTCAGGTTCAAATCCAAGAAGAAATAAAAATCCTCTTATGGCCACAGAGGTTCAAATGCGGTGACTTCAGGCGATCTGCAAAGCAGGTGGTCGCCCTGAGATTAGTCAACTCGCATAGCGGGTTGGATATCCAGGTTAATCAAAAAAACAAGCGCTCTACTTCTTAGATATAAGTCGGTTTCCTACGTACCAAACCCAGGTGTGATGTATTGAGATGATTTGGTTTGGTTATTGATTACTCAACGGCCGATAAGAAATGATAAAACTTTTTTAATACCCCCCACCACGCATGATCCCTACCATAACTTCATATAATAACATCCAAACGTATTTTAAACAACATCCGTAGAGCAAGAAGTTCCCAAATCAACTATCGTCACATGTAAAGCTAAGATCCTCCATTTTCATGAATCGACTTCTTGATCGGCCATGGCGCACCGCTCATCACGCCTTCAACATCCTCGACTTTTCTAGGAACCTTTGTCATGTTCACGCAACCATCCGAGGTAACATACTGCATGTAACAGAGAACATTTAGCTTTGATCCATAATGTAAGTGGTATCCAAGCAATAAGTCAAATTTTAAGTTTAAAAATTCAAATATTCTACTTTTCAAATATAACACAAACAAGAATTAGCCGTCTTTTACCAAATAGAACCAGATAAGCGCTTACTGGGTCACCTACCTTACCAGGTGAACGTGACCAGGATTAAGGAGTTGTTTACCAAACTTTTACCGGGTAAAAACTTATTGGGTCTCACTTACCTTACCGGGTGAGAATCTTACCTGGTAAGAGGCATAACATGGACCGAGAATCTTACCTGGTAAATGAGCGAGAAGAATCTTACCCGGTAAGCGCTTATTGGGTAAAAGACACTTACCAACAATACATTTTAATGGCCGACAACGTTACTCGATAAGGTAAGTGAAAGTGATAGACTCTTGCCGGTAAGTGCTTACGTGGTAAGTGAACGGCCCCTAAGAATCTTACCTGGTAAGAGGCATGGCAAAAACCAAGTTTCTTACCCGATAAGTGACGTAGAAAACTCTTATCCAGTTAGCGCTTACCGGGTAAGAGACATTTACAAACAAGCCATTTTGATGGCCAAGAATATTACCTAACAAGGTAAGTGAGGGTAGTGACTTGCCGGCAAGTGACTACCCGGTAACCATTTGGTAGACGGCCCCTTAGTTTGGTGGTATATATAAAAATTACAAAAAGAAAAAGAAAAAACAATTATCGGTAAGTTAAAGAAGAGGCAAAAACCGGGATATGATTGGACAGGACAAGAAAACAGTACCGGATCTTGGCACGACTAGGATTGGGCAAGAATAGACGGGACAAGTTGCCCCTAAATGTTGTTTCATAATTTGATATGGTGGTTACCGGTGGTAGTGGAAGAACTGGTGGAGGTAGAGCCGGTGGTGGCCGGTGGTTGTGGACGACATCACGACATGGAGATGGTGGGTGGTGGTGGTGGCGGTGGCGGCGGCTAATAGTGGTGGATATGAAGGTGGAAATGGTGGTTTTCGAGGAGGTAGAGGCAGCCGTGGCCGATGTAGTAGAGATAAGAGTCAAGAGGTGGTGGTGGACGGTGGTAGTTAGCTAATGGTGGTGGAGTTACCACCGGTGGTTATGGAGGATGTGGAGATGGTGGACAGTGGTGTATATGGAGGCAGTGGCATGAGGTGGTAGTAGTAGCCAATGGTGGTGGAGGTGGTGATTTTAGAGGTGGACGGTAGTGGCTGCCGTCGGGGGTGATGATGACCATTAAAGCAAATACCATATTAGGTCATATCTCAAATGATTGTAGATTGGTAATTTTTTAGTTATGTCCAATCTAGGTGGAACAAAATAATGTTTTTTGGTCCCATCCTGTCCCTATCTCATGTCGCCCCACATGTAGAACAGTGGACTTCTGTCATGTCCCATGTCACGTCAAACTTGGAACAGTGAGTTTTGTTCTGTCATGTTCAGTCTCAATACCAAATGCAGCATACGTGTATGTGTTGCTTAAGTAGACGTGTACACATTTGAGACATGGAAATCTATATTGTCCCCAAAATAAGTCCATTAGGATTTTGGAAAGTCAACCTAGTATGTTTAAACAACATTTTTATTTATGTATAAATCGAAAGAACTGATGCTTGTCAAAATAGCTAATTTGATCCTAAAAAGTCAAATATGAGCTATGTTCTTGAGATGATTGATGCACACATGAAACTAGTACCATGTAACATTATATATTGAAAAAGTGAGGTAAGAAGGTATTTACCAGATTGCTCTCAATTCGCACCCCCCCAAATCCTCTAAATTTGGTGATTGCTTCGCGATTGAAGAACTTTGATGTTTTTGGGGATTCCATGGCTGGAACCAGCAATGCATCAATGAAATAGCATCCAGGTTCGACCGTGATCACCTACAAAAGATATCGCAATCATCTTCGTTATATATTTTGTTAATAGTATAAATCGAGTTAGTAAGAAAAAGATGGCGTTATCAGATAAATCCCATCCTCTATAATAAAAAGAACAGAAAAGATGCAGTTATTTGCAAGCAGGTTTTTCTGCAAAAAATGAAATTTAGAATATCTATAGATATTTTGGGGTTAATCACCAAAAAGACAAAAATATCATCAACAACTAAGGGCATGTTGGTTAGTAGCTTAATGAGCTTAACGGGTCTCGCAGCTTATTCGGTCATATATACACTTTTTGGTAGTGGCTTAATGACATAGAAAGTGACTTTATTCAGTAAGCTTATAAGGGGGAGCTTTATGCAGAAAGCCAAGTTTTTTCCAAACCTTCCCCCAGCCCCTCCCCTCCTTCCATCTATGAAAAAACTTTCCCAAGTTATACAGACAGATTAATCCACACAAACAGCTTTATCCATGTAGGACTTAATGGAAAACCCACCAAACAGCCCCTAAGCCAATTAGACAGACAATGGCAATTAACCACTGATTATGATTAACTAAGCAGCTTAAATAAAATCCTTAAACACATGCAAAGTTCATTACAAAGATAAGATCCGATGCGTTGGACAGGACGGGCGAGAGTGAGGTAGGCGGGTGAAAATATTATGGAAGATTTTAGGGATTTAACTTGACATGGGTATTAGTAATTTATCCCTGATTTTTGTTCCACCTATTTTGGTGGGACAGAAAAAATGCATTTTGTCCAACTAAGGTTTTGTCTCGTTCTTTCCCAATATAAAGTCAACCAAATGTGTTACAACAAGTTTCTGAACCATCCTGTCCCACGTACCAAACACATCCATATAGGATCTAACTTTATTGCAAATAGACACATTAAAGAACATGATAACCAAAGTGCCAACACAAACCATTTTCTCCATGAGATCTCTGCTTGTGCGTAGGGACCTTAATCCTGGTTCTTTGGGTCTTTCAGCTCCCTGTAAATATGTGTTAACCGCCAATATCATTGGGTAAGCATTAAGCAATATCGACCAATTAAACAAACCAAAGCATAGCAAGTTTTAGGGACCTTTAAATAGCCACCAGGATCATGGGTATCAATTCCCATGAGGTGTCCCAGGCCATGTGGCATGAAAACAGAACCCAGTCGTTCAACCATCATTTCATCAACATCACTAGAGCCAAAATCACATGAATTAACAGATAATTACTAAGATACATAGAGAAAGGTGTTCTTTATATCAAGGAAAATGAACAATACCCAACAAGGAGGGATCCTTTCTTCAGCGACTGAAGAATAGTTTTCTCTGCCAATCTGATCTCAATGAAAGGAGAAAGAATATTAGACAAAGAGAACCTTACGATTTTTCTGATTTAATTGTTATCACAAACAAAATTTACTATACCAGCCCATATTAAATATCTTAAGACACCAGAAAACCATGTAGAGATGGCTATTTAATGGAATGCAATTACTTTCTAGTGGGTTTCCTCTGATGTTGAGTTTAGAAACCCCCCCCCCCCCCTTTGAATCCTAAGACTATGGTGGGTATCCTACCTTGGTTACGGTTTCGTGTACCTGTACCCGTTTGTATGTTTTGTTTGTCTGACTGTTCTGATATTTGGTTGCTTACTTGTAACTCATTTTCCAAAACTTAGCACTGCCTTTATTGTTTTCAACTTCATTCTTTCAAATGTTTTTCTACTGTTCTTTTTTTCTGCAATTTTATTATGTATCTCTTTTTTTCCACATTATGCACTATCAGCCGCTGGGGGTCTTCACAGAAACAACCGCTCTACTCTTTGGGTGGAGGTCAGGTCTGCGTACACCCCACCCTCCCCAGACCCCACCTTCGGGTGGGATATACTAAGTTTGTTAGGTTTGGTTTAATTACTTTCTTGTGGGTTTTTCACGTGGATTATGTAATTGGACATAACTTGTATATTTGGCTAAGAAATATGATCTGGAACTATTTTCTGTTATACGTACAAGGGAGCTAGCATGAATGTTGAATAGTGAAAGGCAGAACACAGTTTAGAATGACCTGAAATATGAGGGAGAATTAATTCTAGATGGAATATAGCATCAACGAAAGCATCCTAGTGGCATGCCTCTGTTGGTTTCATTCAAAAATGCAATCGAAATCTCATCTATGCAACCATCAATTGGACAACCTCTCCTTGCACCTAGTGCCCTCTCCTTCCCATGCCACTGACGTTTGTAATATTGAACATTTTTTTCTTCTTTCAAACTAAGTCATTCTTAGTTTTTGTCCTTGATGTTTATGTTCTTAAAAATCCTCATGGAGATTAATATTCAATTCTTGCACCTAATGGAAGAATTATGATCTTCCTATTTATTGGAGTCGGCTATAAAAATGATTTGTTTTTAAGATTTTCAATACCAATAACTCATTGATAATTATTTGGGAAGGAAGAATCAGGATGCACCATCATCATGCAGTCTTTTAGTCATGTAGGAAACACTACCAAGAACCAAGGGAACAGAATCTCAATGATGAGCATTGAGGTAGATATCTAAACATAGTCCTGCAATCTTACTTGTGCATATCCACCCAGTTTACTCCTGGCTTCATGGTAGATATAACAACATCATGAGCATCGAGGACAGCCTGGAAATGTGAAAAAGAAAAGACATATGTTGATAAACTAAAAGAGCACAGTTTTAGGGCCAAGAAAAATACACTAAGCTTTAGACATGAAGAGGCCATACAACTCCTTCAAGTAACTTGTATTTTTTAAACACAACATCAGGAGGATATCCCTTACGTTGTATATAAGACGTTGATTACTTGTAAATTTCCCGTTCACCTGCATGCATCATTAAGTATGTTATGAAAAACCCTATAACTCATACTCATTGACTTGTAGCTAGCATTTGGCATCAAATGAAAAGCATCCTGCAGCATTTAAAACATTGAATGACAAAAATGTCCGATAGGATTTTACAAGATCTAAAGAGTAGAACATGATTTACTGCTGACAATATTCCTCATTATTTTCTTAGGCGTTGTGTTGTAAGTTGTAATACTGATCAACACTCATCATCATTTTAAATTTTTTGAAAGAATGTCGGTAAGATTCCTTGCAGATATAACTCTTCTTTCTTAAAGTCCTGTTAACCTATCACTTCACTCAGGTCAGAATCTGCATGTTAACTGAAAAGTGGCAGAGAACTGATACAGAGCTAATATAAAAAGAATTCTACGTAAGGAGAATAAACTGAAGTCTCTGTTGGGAAGTATACCCAATAGTTATTTCACATTATATGTCATTAACACATATACTTACCGGGAAGGAGCAGGTTATGTCAGAACCATAAAAATTGAATTCGGCTCCCATATCCAGTAATGCCATATCTCCATCTCGCAATGTCTGCATAATTACAGAAGATATCATCACAACATACAGTTAGTAGCTGACTTGTGGCAAAGATAGAAGGGAGAACTTGAACTGCAAAGATTCTTAACCAATAAGAATAGAATGCTGGATTATCATCATGCATGTGGATTGTCGGGTTTGCGAATTATGATATTCAAAGTGTTCCATTGATACACTAAGCAGAATAGGTAGCAATATAGAGAGATCAATTTATTGCAGGACACACAAAGAAAGAAGATGACACTTCCAAATAGCATTTAGCAAAGGTTCGAGTTGGGTCCAACCAAGACAAAAATGTGTAATGGTCCTACTAGAATAAACCAAAAGGATTCATTACAAAAACACATAAACAATAAAAGAAATGAAATTCCTGTACCCTGTCATTTGGAGCTGCAGCATGCCCGTAATGAAGAACAGAACTGCCAAATGAAAATAAAAAATCATACTTTTAGCTGCTTAACATCTCAGAGGAAGAATAATATATAAAAGACTAACAATACAAAATGCCACCAGATCATTTATATGGGATGATCAATCTGCGTTAAGTGCATGGTTCTGGTTATCTCTTGCTCCTTACTACGATGAAAAATTATATCAAAGCCCTGCCCTGTTTCTATTATTTTCCTAAGGTTTTAAAATAAATTGTCTTAGTTGAATATTAAAGGAACGGGGACCATTAACAGGAAATAGACAAAAGACCATAAAATGACATTTTAAAGATTCAAGGTGCTTTTTAGGTTGATAGCCAAATAAGCTTAACAAGTATTCTCGTCCTTATACAGTATCCATGTTAATTGTGTCTAATATATGTAGCAGCATTATCCATTCAGCTAAAGTTGAATCCAATGATGTTAGCATTGAATCATTAATTACTGTTATGAATTTGAAGCCTCATTAGGCTATCCTTTTTGTGAAGATCAATGCTGAAACTTAATCCGAAACTAAGCAACGTGTCATTCATTAGAGAAACGCAGTGAACACATGAACAATATTCTTATGGCAGAAATGATACTTCTAATGTCTAGCACCACATCTGAAATTTTGTAATAGGAAAGATCTGCCTCAAGAGAGAGACGTGAAAAGGGAAAAGTAATCACCTGTTGTCACCAGTCGCACAGATACAAGTGTATGAACAATGCCTACAGCTACCATAGAAGTATGTATGGTGAAGAAATATGCTTTCCATTTGATACTCCTTCATAGCCGGTTTGGTCTTCCTCATTACCTACTCAAAATGTAGTACAAATTACCAAAAGATGGCACGGGCATATACACGCAACTTTTGCTAACCACTAATCTGTAAATTGATGTCCCATATGCAATTCACAAGACAGGGTAAGAAGATAAATTGAGGATATCATAAAGAAAACAAGATAAAGATTAAAGAACAGCAAAAAAATGAAATTGCCACATGGATGACTCCGTACTCTGTAGTGTCAATGGTCATTGCTCATCAAAGAGTCACTCATGACATTACAGGAAAGCATAACTTCACATTGGCAAAATTTATGAAACCAAAGTGCTAACCGGAACAAATAGTGTTAGCATTACAGCTAAAAGAGTAGTTGAACGTTCTGATCTAGTGCGTCTGTCAAATCAACTATCTTTTAGATGATCTGAACCTGTTTACAATATCGATCTCACATATATATCTAATCATATATAATAACTAGTAAATAATCTGGATTGCATACACAAATAAACACTTTGTTCTTTGAAAATATATAGAAAACAAGTTTGCTTTGAGACTAACAGCTGGAATAAGAGAAACTACTATGCATGAATAATATACATATATATATCTGGTATAAGACCGCCATGCAGAAAAAAAGTACAGGAAGGCGTTTTACACTTTTAATTAATGGCGACTCTTTGCCAGGTTTCTGGAAGAATATTGACACATTTAATACCAATTCAAACAAAGTCTCATAGCAAAGACTGCAGATTTAGATAATGAGAAGACGGATAAATGTCACATGAAGAGTCATTTGATATGGACTACAAAGAAAATTCTTCCTATAACCTGAATTAGATTTCACAAACATATGACTGTTAAAGAATAGATGGAAAAGTTATTGCTTATGGTCGTGTAATCATTTGAAAACTGAATGCGCCTTGTGGGATGAGTTTAAAAGTGAATCATGAGGCATATGGTAAACCTAAGATGATCAAACAAGAAATCTTGCATTCTCCCCAACAGCTAAAGGCCAGCTCTTAAAGAACTCGTTCAGACTCTATTTATCCTTTTGAGTATTGTAGAGGCTTCTCATATGACTGTATTGATCAGGTAGAGATTTCAGCACCAAATGAACCAGAAATGCATCATCAAATTCCCACATTCAACTCCTTTTGAGTTTAATAGATGTGTGAATTCCTTGCAGAATATATTCTCTGCCCATTGAAACCCATCCTAATCGATTTGTTCATCAGAGTGTCAATTTCAGCTTTGTCAGACACTATATTTTTCTGCAATTAATGTGAAATACTCCTTGGCAAGATCTGCATCTGGTATAGCACCCTTTACAGCATTAGTCATGCATTTCTTCATGTAGATAAGAGCCATTATGTTGTGCTTGTGTCATTGTTGATATTTTTCCTTAATTTCCTTTGCAGCAGTAGCTGCAGGTTCTGTTCGCGGGTCTTCCTTGAACACATGATCAAAGTCCACGATTCCCAGGTTCAACTCAATGTCTTGCTTCTACTTCTTATGATTCACACCATTTAGTGGTGCAAAATTGACAATACTCGTGGGGCATTGTCCTGCATAACATGTATTGATGTACCTTTGATGGGTTATATAAATATATGCAACTTATATTATCTGAAAATAAAATATAGAGTCCTGAAAATGCTTGTCATATGCATTCTGAAATAGATTAACTGAATTTTAATAAATTGTATATATATATAAATGTGTGTGTGTGTGTATATATATATATATATCTCGTAGAATATATGTTCAATTAATCCAAATATGTTGATCAGAATTGAATCAACTTTTGAGGAAGTATTGTAATTCAAATAGTGTACTAATCCGTTTTCATATTTATTAGAACTACTATGCAATTACAATACTTCCACATATCAGTACACTATTTGAATTACAATATTCCACAGAAGTTGATTCAATTCTGATCAACATATATGGATTAATTGAACATATATTCTACGATATATATATAGTATACAATCTATCAAAATTCAGTTAATCTATTTCAGAATGCATATGACAAGGACTCTAAATTTTATTTTCAGATATATAAGTTGCATATATATTTATATAACTGATCGAAGGTACATCAATACATGTTATGCAAGACAATACCCAATGAGTATTGTCAATTCTGCACCACTAAATGGTGTGAATTATAAGAAGTAGAAGCAAGACATTGAATTGAACCTGGGAATCATGGACTCTGATCATGTGTTAAAGGAAGACCCGCCAACGAAACCAGCAGCTACTGCTGCAAAGGAGATTAAGGAAAAAAATCAACAATGCCACAAGCACAACAGAATGGCCCGTATCTACATGAAGAAATTCATGACTGATGTTGTAAAGGGTGCTATACCATATGCAGATCTTGCCAAAGAGTATTTTACATCAATTGCAGAAAAATATGAAGTGTCTGACAAAGCTGAAATTGGCACTCTGATGATCAAATTAACTAGGATGAGTTTCAATGGACAGGGAAGCATCAGAGAATATACTTTGCAAGGAATTCACGCATCCATTAAACTCAAGGAGTTGAATGTGGGAATTGATGATGCATTTTTGGTTCATTTGGTGTTGACTACCTGATCAATACAGTCATTTGAGAAGCCTCTACAATACTCAAAAGGATAAATGGAGTCTGGACGAGTTGATATCTATATGTGTCCAATAAAAATCTGATGTACAGAAGAAGGGAAAAGCAATGTTGATCATTTACATGGCTAAATCTAGAATAAAACGTTTTTTTGGTAAGTTCCATAAGGGAAGCACTTCCAGCCATTCCTTGGAAATCTGACTACAAAAAGCGAAAAACCCCAAGAATCCAAAAGAAGTGAAATGCTTCTTTTGTAAGAAGGTTGGTCACTTCAAAAAGGATTGTGAAGGTTTTAAGGACTGGCTCAACAAGAAAGATACGGTTGTTACTCAACCAACCTTTTCTTTACTTGAGTCTTTTGACAACTTTAGTGACAATTCATGGTGGTTTGATACTGCTTCACCAATACATCTTATGAATTCACTGCAGGGGGTTATTAGAACAACAATCCCAAGGTTGCATGAATCCAGTATTTGTACTGCAAATGGTCAAGCATTAGAAATTCAAGCTTTGGGGGAATGTAGACTCTTGTTTAGGGAAAACTATGTCCTTGTTTTAAATAACATGTATTGTATTCCGAAAATAAAGAGAAACCTTATATTACGTTCTCAGCTTGTATTAGATAACAATATAAGTTTCTATGCCAATAAAAATACTATGTTATTTTAGACTTTTAGTTGTATTTTTGCTTTGGAAACGTTGATTTAATAGAAGGTTATTGGATGTCAATTGCGTAAATGAAATTATCAACAAAAAATTTAAAAGAGAGGTGTGTTCTATAAACAAATTAACAGCGGTAAAAAGAAAATTTAAACAAAATGTTTCATCTTTTCTATGGCATAAAAGACAAAGACATATTTCCAAATCCAGATTATAAGAGTTAGTTAAACAAGACATTCTGCCTGCATTAGATTTCAATGATTTTGAAACTTGTATAGATTGTCTAAAATGAAAAATGACTAATTCGAGAAGTTTTAGCTCTAAAAGAAGTCAATGCATGCTTGAACTTATACACATAGATGTATGGACCATTCCCAGTTGAAGCTATATGTGGAAACTTGTATTTTGTCACATTTATTGATGACTTTTCCGGATTCTGTTATATATATATATATATATATATATATATATATCTTATCTCAGAAAAGTAACAAGTTTTAGATTGTTTTGTAAAATTTAAGACGGAGGTAGAAAAGCAAACTGAAAAGGTCACTAAAACTGTCAGATCAGATAAAGGAGGTGAGTACTTTGGAAAATACTCAGAAAAAGGACAACATAGAGGACCATTTGCTATCTATCTAGAAGAATGTGGTATTAAAGCACAATACACCACACCTTACACCCCTACTCAGAATGGTGTTTCAGAAAGAAGAAATAGCACATTAATGAACATGGTCAGAAGCATGTTTGCCAGATCAGGGCTGCCAAAAATTTTATGGGGAGAACTGAGAAGCCGTAAGAACTGCAAATTATATTAGTAACAGGTCTCCTACCAAGGCTGTAACATGTACACCATTTGAGCACTGGCATAGCTACAAACCAAGTTTGAACCACTTATATGTAAGGGGTTGCAAGGCTGAAACTAGAGAATATACTGTAGAGAAATTGGGTAAGCTGGATTCAAGATCCTTGTCGACATATTTTATTGGTTATTTTGAAAATTCCGAAGGGTACAAGTTCTATAATTCTGGCAGGCGTCAAAGAATATTTGAAACAAACAAGGTTGTATTTCATGATGAGTTATTCAATGAAAATGAAATTTTATCAGATTCACCAGGCTGGCAGGCTCTACCAGAAATATGGAAGAATGATTTATATATCCTGATCTTCATCAAGCTATTGTCACTGAAAATGAAAATAGAGATGCGCTATTTCACCCCTTACCTACAATGAAACCTGATGCTGCAACACGAGATGCCAACGATATTGTAGTTGAAAATGTGGAACAGGCTATAGAAGATCCACCAATATAACAGGTACAAGATGTGGCAGCTCTTAGAAGATCTACTAGAGATAAAAGACCAGCAATCCCCAATTATTATTACGTATATGAAACTGAAATAGAGTTTGATTTGGGGGGAGATAATGATCCAAAGAATTACAAAGAGGCTATGGAATCTGTGAATAGGGACAAGTGGTCAACAACCATGGAGGATGAGTTGATGAGCATGTCCAAAAATGGAGTTCTGGATTTAGTTGAGAAATCAAACTCAATGAAGCCAATAGATGCAAATGGGTCTTCATGACCAAAAGAGATGAAAATGGCAAGATTGAGACATACAAAGCCAGGTTGGTTGCTAAGGGTTATAATCAACGAGAACTCAAGAAGGTGTAAACTATAATGAAACCTTCTCGCCTGTATCAACTAAAGATGCTTCCAGAATCATCATGGCTTTGGTGGCACATTACAACTTAGAACTCCACCAAATGGATGTCAAGACAACATTTTTAGACGGAGATTTGGAGGAAGAAATCTATATGTTACAACCTGAAGGCTTTGCAAAAGAAGAAAACAAGGTATGTAGATTGAGGAAGTCACTTTACGGTTTGAAGCAAGCATCTAGACCATGGGATATGAATTTTAACAAAGTAATGACTGCATTCAGTTTTGAGGAAAATAAACTAGACGAATGTATATATCCCAAGACAAGTGGGAGTAGCTTGATATTCTTAAATTTGTATGTGGATAACGTCTTATTAGCTACCAAACGGTATAAAACTTGCTGCAGACTACTAAAGCTTTTTTGATGAAGAACTTTGATATGAAGGATATGGGAGAAGCACTTTGTGTTGGGTATCGAGATTTTAAGAGATAGGAGCAGTGGTATTTTGGGATTATCACAAAAGCATTATATTGAAAAGGTGCTCCATAGATTTGGTATGAAAATTGTAGAAGTGGTGAGTCTTCAATTTCAAAAGGAGATAAGTTACACAATGGACAGTGCCCCACATAATAATTTAGAAAGAAAACGCATGGAGAAAATACCATATGCAAGGTTGGTGGGAAGTTTAACGTATGCACAGGTCTGTATTAGGCTTAGCATAGCTTTTGCAGTAAATATATTATCTAGATTTCAATACAATGCTGGTTATTCAAATTGGATAGCAGGAAAGGAAGTGTTAAGATATTTAAGAGAGACTAAAGATTATATGCTGACTTACAAAAGAATAGAGGATCAAGAACTGAAAATAGATTTGTTATACTGATGCATCTTATAAACAAGATTATGATGATTTAAAGTCTACTTCTGGGTACATTTTTATGTTAGCAGGAGGTGCCGTGTAACGGAAGACAGGTAAACAGTCATTGATTCCAACTTCTACATTTCAAGCTGAATACATTGCAATTTATGATGCTACATCTCATGCTATTTGGCTTAGAAATTTTTTTTGTTGGTTAAGAATTTGTGGATTCAATAGAAAGGCCATTGACTATCTACTGTGACAATGCTCCTGCTGTTCAAAGAACAACAAAAGGAGTACTAGTTCTAGAAACATAGATGTAAAGTACTTTTCCATAAAAAAAAATGTCAGAGATAAAGAAGTAGAGGTTTTAATGATTGGTACAAAGGAACAATTGGCTGATCCATTGACAAAAGCTCTACCAGTAGAAGGTTTTGAGAAGCATGTCAGAAACATAGGGATTTCAAGTTGTATTGATGATTAACGTATTACTATAAGATACTGGTGTAATGAATACTTTATCTATTTATTAGTAATCACATAAATTTATTTACATGATCATTTTCTTAGATTCATTTCATTAAGTTTGTATAAATTAGGATGCTGATGTAAATACCTCAGTAACTGTTTTGAATTTAAGAAGTGATACTCATACTTTTAATATTGTAATACTCTATACTTAAAGGTTGTTGATAACATTGACTGAGTATGAAATACTATATGTATGAAGTAGTTCATGTGGTTATGTTTGCATTATCATGATTATGAGAGTCTACACAATATCATTGGGCATTAAACTTGTGTAGTCTAATACAACAAATTTTGACTGACAGAACTTTGAAGGATCAAGTGGCAAATGATAAATCTTGTGCACACTTAAGAGTGGTTGAATTATTAAGTTACTTTTGCTGTAGTATCTTGTTTATTGGGAGATTGTTAGAACTCTAATAGAACAAGACATATCTATATACATATGTATATCAACTACTAAGATTTATTCTTGTCGGTGACTTAGTTAAATGTTCAATCTCTATTTAAGTTCCTTATAACTAATGCAATTGATCTGAATTTAATATTCAGATTATGTATAGATTAATTTAGGTAATGCTGTAACAGTTAGTGGTTGACAGTTAAGGACGGTTTCTTAAAGGAAGAAACTGCCATAACCAACTCATGCCATACATGTGCATATATGCATCAAAGTTCTGTTTCATTCCCCAATGAGAACACAACTCTTCTCATATACGTTACCAGTCCCATCAATGGTTGATTAATAAAGTGTGGATCTTGAAGAAGAGAATGGGACAACACAGTTACAACACATCTGTTACTGTTACTGGTTAGCAATACACACACACACACACACACATATATATATATATATATATCTATCTAAGACTACGATTGTCTAATTTATATCTGAATGTAGCATTTGAAGTTGATATTGCAAACTACTTCCTTTGTCCCAAAACAAGTGCCTACAATAGAAATAGCACACGGTTATCTATTTTTGAAAATTTAGTTATCTATTTTTGAAAATTTAGTTATCTATTTTTGAAAATGGACACTTATTTTGGGACAAACATAAATAGAAATGTGGACACTTATTTTCGGACGGAGAGAGTAATTTGCAATAGCATTCACCACTAAGAGGAAACTAAAGAGTGTTCAGTAAGTGGGCAGTTTGTAGTTAGCTGTTACATAAAGGAACCATGCCCACCTCAACATGAGCTTCAGAGCTTATATCATTCGCATACTGGATCACAGCAAGCTCCAGGTTTGACTTCAAAACACGGCATTCGGTCAGAATAGGATGCAAAGTCTTGAGATCTGTCTCAAACTTCTCAATACCCTGGAGAGCAAATAAAACCAACTATTCTTATTACAGGGTGTATTGTGATAATACAATATCACTAGCAGTAAATGTTAGATAACATTACTTCAATGATACCACAATTAAGTTTGACAATTTTAACCGGCAGAAAGGCAAATGATAAAATGGAAAACCAATTCAAAAAATTTGACCCTTTATTATGCATGATTAGAATGGTGCAATACTCTTTGTACTATGACATAACTTTAACGGAGCACTACCATTCACTGCATCTTAAATACTTGCTTCCAGTAGTTAAAATATGACATCTTCTGGTAAATCCCACAACCAATCAGGGTTTATAGAAAATTATGACTGATTAAAAGCAAGCAAGTTGTTTAACAAAGTGGTGAAAGAGAAATGTCATGGTGTGCATGCTAGTCAAATATGCATATCGATATCATTATGTTCAAAGGTGAAAACAAGAATAGATCAAGCAAATGCTTACTTAATTAAAGACTTCAATAAAGCAACATTTGTTGGTTGATAAAGCCGTACGAAGCCCAAACACACTTTATTAGAAACTCAACCACGCATTATACCACGTCTAAAAGAACAGAAAATATACTTATTGCATAAACAGCATACCACCATTATCAAGGAAACTGGGATCTAAGCAACCAGGGTCTTCAGCCAAACAGTAAAGGATAAACGGCAATAGAAGGAAGAAAAAGGAATAGAGTTGATCTACAGCAAACATTTAGGGGTATTAGAAAGAGAGAAATCTAATAACAAGGTACCTCAAATTCTGCTGGTTTAGAGAAGTTTTTGCTATCAGTATTCAACCCATGTAGAAGAAACAACAGGGGTTTTCCAGATCCTTGGTATTGATTATTAAGGACTTCTGTAATCTCATCAGTATAATGGACCATGCTAACCATGTATGTTTCCTGCAAGATATAAATTGTACAAATTCATCAACTAAGATAGACTACACATTGACACTTCCTTCTAATTGGTAGGGAGTAACACAGCGCCGACTAGACACCAGCTGTGAGAGTGGACTTACTTTGAAATAATTTGGTGCCTTTATTTCTCCCATCCAAACAGCATACTCAGCCGGCAATCTGGGAGCAAAAAGTATTGATTTCCCAGTATCCACATCCTACACCAGCACAACAAAAGAATAAATGGCAATAAAAAAAATTCATAAATGATCATATTAAAAGGAAAGAAAAAAATTAAATATTTGTATCATGACTTGCTGTAGCAGCAGACAAAGGTACATGGCTATAGATTAGAGAAACCAAGAATTATAGTGGCATGTTCTAAAGACAGATCCAGACAGGCTATATTTAAGTCAGATGGGATAACTTGCTTCTCCTTGAAACTTCCATATGTGAAATATCAACATATAGTACTTTATGCAATTGGAAATTGTATTTGCATGTTAACATAGGTCGTCAATATAAAGCCTTAAGACACTTTAGAATAAACCATATAGAAACATTGAAATCTGAACGTGAAAACAGAGGAGACTTACAATTGCTCCATAAAAACCAGGTTCTCGCACTCCAAACAAATATGCAAAAAAACTTTCCTGTCTGGAATGAAGTCAGCAATCATCAGAAAATAACTCAATCATACAACCTGACAAAAAAAAGTCGGCCTAAAAGCAACAACTCACATCAATCTCTATAATGTGACAGGACTATATGACTACAATTAATAGCAAAAGAAAATCATGTTAACTTTTGTCACTGTTAACCACACTAGTACTATAAATTGCTTAAGGAGATTACAGAAGATCAAATAACTGTACTATTTCCAGAAACCAGTTGAATGTCGTGTAGTCATCACTAGAGATGACAATTCCAAATTCATTGTAAAATAAACCACCCAAGAAATGCTCTCATGGAGCCTCCTTTTATTATTTATTAGTGCTTAAAGCGCGGGTGTGTATCAATGGTCTGCCTCATCAAAAGAGCTAGTCAGCTAAGATGGATCTACAATAGAAAAGTGGATGATACTCTAAGTGACAGGAAAACTTCTTTGCATACTTCCCTTGCTAACACTTTATGATTGTCTTATTTAACTATTCGTAACCTTTCATAAACTTTTTTGACTGTTATGGAATACAATAGTCAATCTGAAAAAGTTTCAGATTCCAGAAATACAAACATAAATAAATTAATCCCTCTAGATCATACACAAAGTTTCCACCTTTTGTCATGGCTCGCAGTACTATCTAGAGTTGGTGCTGATAGATTATAAATCATGAATAGTGAAACAACATATGAAAATACCAATGATATATTTGGATTGGTCAAAGGGGATATGGTTAAGCTGTAGGACCAGCAGTGAGCCACTTGCTAACTGTTAAAGCAAAGATCTTCTTTCTGTATTCTGTATTCTGTATCTTTATGTTTCCTTTCTGTTGGAGTTATATTTAGATTTGTATTATGCTTTTGGTTACTAATCCTTCAGATTGTTTTTCCTTCCTTGTTTCTAGCCACATCTTGTACACTTTCCTTTGAGTATCCTAGCTGCTGCCTCGTTAACCTTAGGATGTATATATATTTGCCTTCTCTGGCTAAATAAAGCAGGCAAAGATTTGAATAAACGTGATACAAACCTATTGCATAAATAAAAAGGTGGAATGAATGTGTTAACATGCTTTCCATGGTTATTGCATAACTCAAGCATCTACTCCAACTCAAAAGTGCACCAACAAATTGTGAAAATTTTCCCAAGGTTCACAAATCACTCACAGTAGATAGTACCACCAAAGCAAACATGCTACCTCCACCCACAGCACATAGCAGTATACCGCCTTTTAGTCTTTACAAATATCGTACACACGTACAACAACAAAATCATATTCCTAAATACACTTTATTCTGCCCTCCTAGAGTGTGATGAATTCAAGTATCAAGTCATAACATTTCGTTTAGTGAAGATGCATTTTTGAAGTAAATATTTTAAGCGATGTGTTGCCAATTTGGTGTACAAAAACACATGGTCGATTTACAGAGACAGAAAAAGAGTAAGCGACCCGGTGATTACCTCTAATAGTTGATTTTCCATGGTTGACAGAAAAAACTACAAAATCGGTATCAAATACTCATATCGTCGATTACCAGTAGCAAAACTATAACCACCGATCTAATTCAAATGCACGAAGAAATTAGACAAGGTGACCGACAAAAGTACCTGAAGATATCTTCATGATCAGTGCAGTAACGAGTTTGCTCCTGTCCTCCCTAACAAAATCAACGGATTATGAAAAACAATAATCGATAAAAAAAAATGAATTTAACTCAAAAACTCGATGCATTTACTTTACCTGAAGAAGTACGAATCCGCGTAAAGGACGAGACGATGAATCTAGACTTTCACGGAGATGTTTTATCAGTTTCTCTCGGTTTTCCAAGTGAAGCTTCTTGGGGACCTCGGGAGGAGGATACAGCGAAGAAGAAGAAGAAGAATCCATGGCGATCGTCGTCGCCGTTGACAAGCGTGCTTCATCCACACTCTGTCGAACTTATATACTAATATTGTTCATCTTGATTTACAGTACAACAGTTAATGCATAAAGTACAAATTGTTCTAGTCTACGTTCATTTTGTTAACTTATCTTGAAACCCAACCCAACCATAAATGTAACCCAATAACTTTGGGCCTAAATCAAATGGCCTAATTGGATCCGGCCCGGTCCAGTTAGAGACCAGACATATTACTATATTAGGATAAGAAACTGTTTACTAAATTTTTTATTAAGTTCTGTATGGATAAATTTGTCTGTACGAATAAATTTGTCTGTTTTGATAAATGGATGTTGTTATTTACTTTTTTTATCTAAACCAACAGTCTGAATAACATAAATGACCGATTTACCCTCAATATTAATTATTTGAACATCAAAACAAAAAATCATACAGAGGTTGACGACGGGGTGTCTCATTTGGGAAGGAGGCGATGTTTTAAATAAGGGATAATGGTGTCATTTTTGTGGCTGAATGGGGACAACACATCATTTCTATCTATGCGATTAAGTCATGTTCTGTGCGAATAAGTCGTAAGTAAACAACCAAAATGAGTTGTGCGAATAAGTCATATAGACTAATAAGCCTAATTAAGCCGCAAGTAAACAGCCCCTAGGTATCAACCGGTTACGATTCAACAGTTTGGGATCAGTTAAATTTTTTATTGAATTTCAAAGTCTAACACGAGACGAGTTACGTTGTAATCAATATAAGGAACATAACTTATTGTCTCACATTTAGCGTGACATGGAACAGAATAAAAACTCATTATTCCATGTTTGATGTGACAAGAACAGGGACAAGGATAAGGACTGAGATTAGGTGGGACACGGTTAGACAAAAACAGATGGTTGGATAATTAGGTTAAATACATGAAATATCAATTTACTTTCACAAGTTTTTTTATTGTAATATTGTACTTTCATTTTTTTTTTTATTACAGCATTATACTTTCAATTTATTTTTTATTAAGGTATAAAATATTTACTTATTATAACAATGAGTAACCTTTTGATTTGAATTAAGATGAAATAACATATGTTTTACCAAGTTTCCATGTCATATCATTGTCCACGTGCAACATATTGATGACTGACACTTCTTATTACAGCATTGTATTTCATTGTATGTTACAAAAATTAAATTTACATATTATTTAATAAATATATTAAAAATCTAAATTATTTAATAGTATAATAATATCAAGAATACTTATACATCACAATTTATCTTGATAATATTTAAAAAATGTTAAAAATGTATTTTTTTTTTAAACAAAGAAACTAATTTTTTTACAAACAAAATATTTATCTTGAAAAGAATACATAACATGATGTTTGGAAAAAAATTGATTAAATATATTATTTAATAAATATATTAAATTAATTAGAAAAACTCTAAATTATTTATTAATATAATAATATTAAAAAATTATCATTAACATAAAAAAAAACATGTTTACAAATATTATTAAATAACCTATTTAAAGTTTTTAAACTCTAACCAAATTTTGGTACACTTTTGTATCATCTTCCTAATCATAGATAATTTATCTGATTATTAACCTCAAAAAAATTAAAATTAATGGGTGTAAATACATATATATATATATATATATATATATTTTAAATATATTTTTTATATATTTTTTATTTGATTGATAATCATATGAAGCATACAGTACACATCGTCTGTTACATTATGAGAGTTGGCCATGTTCGAAGTCGTTACCTTAACTTCAAGAAAGGGGATGCCAAATACAAGAATATCCGGTAAATAATATTTAAGTATTTGAAAAATCTGTTCTGAATTATTAAATTTTTATTAAAAAAAATTCAAAATTATATCATAAAAATGATTCAATCTCTTACCATTTAAATATTTTGTAATTTAGAGTCCCAATGCCATTTTGCATGGTTGGCTTGTAGTTGGATTTAAGTACCAAAAGCACAAAAATGACACCTATTTGTTTTTTATCTTTAATTGATTATTAAATACGTATTATAATAAAATTAGAAAGGTACTCGTATAATGTAACAAGATACATCTTGATTTTAATGTTTTGTTTTATTTATTTTTTTGTCTCAGTTGATTATATAATACGGTTTTATGTGGTTTTGAGAAAGTGATAATGCTTTTATTTTTGAATAAAATATAAATATGAAGATATCATAAAATCGGGAAAAAATATTGATATTAGTACCAAACTAACTAATTAAAATTTTTTGTTTTTTGTGTATTTTTTTAATTCATTTTTTAAATTTTTTGTTTAATAATATAATTTCTATATGACAATAATTAAGTATTTTGTTAGAAGTTAATGATTATTCTAATTACATTTTAGATTTTTTATATTTAAAATGAAATATTTATCATCTATTTTATTATGTTTATCTACAGTTAGTTAAACGAATTTAAACATGAAGCTTTAATAAGTTGTACTTACACACATTTTATTTATAATCTTCAATTTTAAGTAATATGTATCACTAACCAGTACTTCATGCATAAAAAATAGTTTCCAATAACTTTTGTCAAATACTTTATAATATATTATAAATAGTTTTCGGTGTGTATCTCAATTAATAAAGAAACATAACGACTTTATTTAAATATAAAACATGTTCCAGCTTCGATCCTGGACCTTCTTTCCTGATCTCATTTGTTAAAAGTATCTTCAACAACTATGCTACTTGAGAAACTTTAAGATTTCATACAAGTTTGTTCCAACAGTTATGTTAAACTCTCATTTAAAATAGAAAAAAAGTATTAAAAAAATCTTCAAATTTGAAAGACATGTTATTGAAAACGATTTTCATATGGAATCGATTGAAATTGTCAGTATTCAACTTTTTATCTAAATATTATAATAAAGAAATATATATATATATATATATATATATATATATATATAAAAGGTATATTTCAAATGCAACCATATCCATTTGTACAACCAATGCAACCCAATTAATTGAGATATTTATAGAAAAGATGTGAGTTCATTTATTATGATTTGAATATTTATGGAATATGAATAGGGTTTATTAATTATCATCAATACTTTATATTAGAAAACAATCAAAACTTATATGAAATCACATATTTATCAAATTAAATGGATGGTTGAGATTGAGTTGTATTGGTTGTACAAATGTAAATGGTTGTATAATAACTCATCTGTATATATATATATATATATAGAGAGAGAGAGAGAGAGAGAGAGAGTTTGTTTCAAATACAACCCGTCGCATTTGTACAACCAATGCAATTCAATAAATTGATATATTTATAAAAATGATGAGAGTTCATTTTTTATGATTTGAATATTTATGGAAGATGAATATGGTTTATTAATTATGATCAATACTTTATATTAAGAAACAATCAAAACTTCTATGAAATCATATATTAATCAAATGAAATGGACGGTTGAAATTGGGTTGTATTGGTTGCACAAATGTCAAATATTGTATAATAACCAACCTCTCTCTCTCTCTATATATATATATAGAGAGAGAGAGAGATAGAGGTTGTTTCAAATGCAACATATCGCATTTGTACAACTAATACAACCTAATAAATTAAAATATTTATGGAAATGATGAGAGTTCATTTATTATGATTTAAATATTTATGAAAGATGAATAAGGTTCATTAATTATGATCAATACTTTATATTACGAAACAATCAAAACTTCTATAAAATTACATATTTATCAAATTAAATGAACAGTTGAGATTGAGTTATATTGATTATATAAATGCAAGGGGTTGTATAATAACTCACCCCCCTCTCTCTCTCTATATATATATAAATAAAAGACCGGCCAAGGATTGTTTCAAAGAAACATTACATACAAAAAATAAAAATGTAATGTGATAAAATTATTCTATAAAATTAATCTTGATGTTGTGCAAAAAGCCTCTTGTGGAAGTTTTTGGATCACAAGTTCTATGGCTACCTAACAATTATTTTAACAACAACAATATCAACAAAGTCAATTATGTTTTTTTATTAATTTGGATATTCAACCCGCTATATAAACTGATTAATTCTAGGATGATCACCTATTTTGTGGGTAGCTCGGAGTCACCGTATGTGAACCTCGTAGCCATAGAAAGATTTTTATTCCTCTTTGGATTTGAATTGGACCTCCAGACGCTTTTAACATCTGAAGCTCAAACTCAAACCAATCAGACACCACTCTTATAGTTTTCAGGTTATTTAGAGCCCATTTGGACAACTAAGAGGCTGTTTGTTTACCTCTTAATAGTTCTATTAAGAGGCAACCTCTGAATCATTAAGAGGTGTATCTTGTTTGACAAAAAAAATTTGTCTCTTAATGGTTCTAAAACCTCTGAATGATTTTGTATCTTGGATCTCCCTTAACCATTAAGAGCCCTAATTTCATTGTACACAATTACCAAAAAAAATTATTTCATTGTGCACTATATCATGAGCGCCTTCTAATCATTCTGACCACTTAATCATTCTGCACCAAACCATTTAGTAATTGTCAATCAGCCCTAAATAATGGATTGAGTAATCTTATTAAATTATAAACAATAAAATCAAAAAGTAATTTGTAGTATTAGGTTATGGATGTGTTTGACATATTAGTTCATAAACAATTATTAGTTGATAAATTACTTATGTTCGGTAAAACCTAAATGATAAGCTGGTTAACAGATATAAAGTAACCAACAAGAGAAATAATGAGAAAATTATTTAATTTTTATATTCATATAATTAAACAAACCGTTAAGTGAACACCTGTCAAAAATCTTTGAACATCACAGAACAAAAATCCGAAACGTTGTCAAACAAAACCTAAAAATCATTTTTGTACGTTTAACATGTCGTTGATAATTATAAAAATTATAAATATATAAGATTCAGACACAAGATATGTGATTTGTCTATAGATGGTGAAAATTGAAAACCGAAACTTTCGGGTCAGGTTTGGGGACGTTCTATCGGAGACCCGGGAGGGGGGGGATCAGGGACATATTCGGGATTTTAAATAAGACTCACGAAAAAATCTAGTTTATTTGTCTAATCGTGATGTTAGTTGTATGGTGTGTGAATTTCTGTTTACTTTAATTTATATTGTAATATAAGATGTTTGTAATTGACTAATTGGTTTGATTATATTTGAGACATTTGGACTTATATCTTAAAAAAAATGTAATTTACTTTTAATTGTGAAAAAAAATAACATATTGTAATTTATTTAAGATCAGTTCGGGTCCGTGTATAACCAACGGCGAACGGGAAAACCAACGGGAAAAAGAGGATTTTACCATTAACGGGTTCCCCAACGGGGATCGGGGAAACCGCGGGGACCCAACGGGGATCAGTGCAGTTACGGGTACAATTTTACTTATCGTTTTCGGGGACAGGAATATCAATAATCGGCCCGTTGCCATTCCTAGATTTGGCTCAAAGGAGTTCGAAGGGAATTTAATTAAAATAAAGAAATAGAAACGAGAATGCATGTCGGGAATGGTAATAAGATTCATTCATATCTCTCTAAAATAAGGAATAACTGACGATTATCTATAATCCAGTAATAAATCAATATTTTAAAGACAATCAGTAGTATTTGTTTATAACTGCGTATGGAGATTTCTAAAACCGCCAAGCATAGGGGAGAGGATTAACCCTGGAGAGCAAAGGGTTACTCCTTTGGTTATAGAGATGGACAAAGGACCAAATTTCTTAATCGGGTCTGGATCCCAACCAATCGAGAAGAGCTACTCAATCGGTTACCCTGGCCAATTAAGGATTTTGAAAACCAATACAGTCTTTCATAACCCATCATCTATAAACGTTTGGTATTTAGAAATAGAAGAAAAACGTATTTTCATAACCAGTTGTCACAATCGACTATGGTTAACCGGTCACCTGAGTTACAATCAGACCTGGGTATTCATCTTGCAAGCGTTTTATAACCAGGACCAAGACAAACTTAACAGTATCTCCAACAACTATATTATTTTATAAATCTTGGATATTTGAGAAAATTTTGCTCCAACAGTTTTGTTAAACTCTCATAAAAAAATGGAGAAATGTCCAAATTTGTATGAAAAAAAGAAGAAAAAATATAACATACATGTTGAAAATGTTCTAACTACTTACTTCTACTGATCACCTGAACCGGGCCCGAACGTAACATGTTATCTGATTTCTCCATCTCTTTCGAGACCATGGAAGATTTATCTGGTTATTAACTTCAAAACCTTATAAAATCAGTTCAAATATGCACGAATTGATCTGTACACTAACATTTATTTATAAAAAAATTGTGAGGATTAGTGGATTTGATTAACTAATATTCCGTGATTTAGTACGAGTGGAAGCTCCTAAATCCTCCCTCGTTGACATTCCGAAAATCCAATGAATTATTAAAAAATTAAAAATTAAAATAAAATCTAATGGTGGTTACAGTGATCAACGGATGAGATTTAAATATACATGGAGAAAGAGTGGGGTGGTGTTGCACCATTCAATTTCTGCCTACAAAAGATTTGAGCTCATAACCCGATTCTTGACCCAGATTCGCCCATTATTTGTCCCCTCTCTTTTTCCTTTTTATTTTTTAAAACAAAGACCCGTTTAAAATTTGGATGAGTTTTTTAGATTTATAGGTTGTTTGTCAGTTGTTAAATGATTTGATGCAGAATAATAAAATGGTCAGAATGATTAAGAACTC